TTCGTAAAAATCAGCTTAATTTTGAGTTCATATAATTAACATGTAATTATTTATTGTAGGATAGTTTGAATCTGTTCACTAATACAATTTATTATTAAGTGATGAAATATTTTTCTATAATTTAACTACGTTTTGAATGAATAATAATAATAAAAAATAAGAAAATACTGAGTTCTGATATTCAGAACACCCTGTAACTAATAGAACCTAACTTCAAGTTATATAAATACCCCCTCTTAAAGCTAACCTCAAAAAACAAGCGTTGTTTGAACGCGTTCGTAAACGATAATTCATTTCTCAGACTACACGTGCTCTCGTCGCACGTTTCTTTTCTAAAGAACTCAACTGCTCCTCAGTGAAGCGAAGAATCCTCGCGGAGAGGTTGCATTTCATATCGTTTTAAGTTTTGCAACAACCAACTCGAACAACAATGGTAAGAATTCTTGTATTTTATATATTATTTCTTTTTTTACTAATTCCTCACAAGTTGTACTTGTGTTGTGTACGTTTTTGAGGTTATAGCACGTTTTTATATTCCATTTGTTTGTTTAGGCTGAAGAAGTAAACCCAAAGGCGTACCCCCTGGCTGAGGCTGCTCTGACCACCAAGATCCTAAACTTGTGCCAGCAGGCCATGAACTACAAGCAATTGCGTAAAGGCGCCAACGAAGTAACCAAGGCTTTGAACAGAGGTCTCGCCGAATTCATCGTTATGGCTGCTGATGCCGAGCCACTCGAAATCTTGTTGCATCTTCCTTTGCTGTGCGAGGACAAGAACGTTCCTTACGTATTCGTAAGGTCCAAGCAGGCTTTGGGCAGAGCGACTGGTGTGTCAAGGTCAGTCATTGCATGCACTGTGACCATCAACGAGGGATCTCAATTGAAGTCGCAAATCCAATCGATTCAACAAGAAATTGAACGTTTGCTTGTCTGAATCTGTATTGTTTATTAAGTACAAATTTTTATATTACAAAATATTTTTTTTGGAATAAAATATATATTATTAAGTATTAACAGAATTTTATTTAATTAAATACAGGTGATGCTATTTTAGTCCAATTCTCCCTCCATCTCAGCTGCTGAAAGTTTTCCAATTCCTTTTTGAAACCAGCTCTTTTCTCTTCTATTTCTTGGTTTTCAGGAAAATCCTTGAACCAAGAGGAGAGTTGCTTTGATAATTCATCTGAATTGTTGAATACGAAACTATTCACGTCGTGTTGAACCAACTCGCCCAAACTAACAAAATAAATAATATTATTATTTTTTTACATTTCATAATGTTGTGAATTTACCATTTGAAGTTGTAAGCGCAAACGGGAAGGCCACAACCAAACATATCAACGACTTTCATGGGTAAATCCAATCCACTTGAACTAGTGTGCAAGCAAACGCCTAAATCCGCTGCAGCTAATATTAGAGGATAATCCTTTGATTCCAACCAAGGTGTTAAAATAGTAATATTCTTCAAGCGCAAATCTTCAATTTTCTTGCAATAAAAGTCCTTCAAAGGTCCTTTCCCTGTAATAAGGCAAATCAACTTTGGTAGATTCAATTGGTTTCCATTAACACAGCTCTCTTCATAATCTGGAAAATTAATAATTATAATGAACTCCTTAACAATTCTTATAATATAGTACTTTGCAATGCAGATAGCAGAACAGAAAAGTCTTCATCCTCAGTCCAACTAGTACTGGAAACCAAAAGGCCTGGCCTTTTCTTCCTCAACTCAACCTCACCAAGCTCACTGAGTTTAGTAAATGCAGTTCCTGTATCTTCTTCAGACAATAATTCCTTGTATTTCAAACCAAGACAGTTTAACACTTCATGTTTCTGCTCCAATGTAATAGAATCAAATATCTCTGGTGGTCTGTCATATAAAGTGGTGGCATCAATGTTCCAAGCAGTTTTCAAATCTCTCTTCATTTCCTTGGTTACACATAAATTATAATCTGCCTTTTGGCCAAAGAATTTCTCCATCCACTTGGTCAATTTCACAAGTGGGTTTTTTTGTCCCACATTCAGAGCCATAATTGTATGAGCATAATTATGCCAATCAATGGCCAACTGGGCTCGGGTAATCAACTTGTACAAATAACAGACCATCAGTGTTGGTACGGCAGGTGGATTCTGCACAATCAACAAGTTTGCTTTCCTTATGATGAGTAATACAAACAAAAGGTTTATAGTTTGCCATATCGTTTTTAGAATGTAGTTCAGGAATCTTGGACATGGTATATTTGGGAATGGGTTTAAGTAGTGGAAACTAACTAGAGGTTGAGTGGTGAGGCTTTCTATGGGGGTGGCTCCTTGGTAGCCAACTATATCTACTTTATGGCCTTCCTCTGCAAATGATCTGGAATGGTACTGCATACGCGGACTCCTTCCTATGTCCCCTAGAACAACGACGCACACACTCTTCTGCAGCATCGCAGCGTAATTAAATCAGCAAACGTGGATTAAATGCATCTATAATGATAATCTTTCAAAAAATGCTGTTGTCAAAATTGCAGTAGACTACACTAAAGACACTAAATGCACAGCAACAACCTTGGATCATACAATTAGGAATGTAAAGAGTGATTAAAAGTTAACAAAAACTAGTGATAATTGTTGATTAAGGAATGACAAGAAGCATACGTCAGGAATGTTTGTAACTTGAAGAATACTTAAATATTAAAGTATCTGAAAATTAACTGATGAGTTAATTATGTTGATTATGAAGAGACATCTAGGAGTTACACAAGAAAATTACGTTATGCACATGTACAAATTGATTTCGATAAAAATAATATAGATAGTTGCATAATTTGCTATGAATGCATTAATGTATGTATGGTTACAGGAACTTTGACCATTTGACTTTCGCGAGTCCAATCAGAGAGGAAGTGTGAGACGGAAACAAGTTCGTTCGTTAAGTTGTAAGCATGGAAATTTGACATGTACCAAAAAGTTGTCTGTTGTGTAGAGCAAGATATACATCAACATTTTTCTTTCGCGTTGAAAAAAAGTGAAATAATTGTAATAAAGTGAGTTTGTTTATAAAAACGTGCGTGCATCTGTAATAGCACTTGGATTGGATGCAGATCATCGATATGTAAGCCAAGTAATGATTACAAACAACACTGGTTATAAGCTCAAGGCTTCCAAGAGCTCACCAAATAATGATTATCAAGATCAAGATGAGAACGAGAGTCTAGATGGAGACGCAACAGGTGATTCCAATAACAAGTACCAGATTTATTCTACCAGAGATGGCAAGCAGAGGGCCACAAAGTCCAGAGGCTTTGATTATGTCAACAATAAGCCTGGAGGCAGAGGAGGAACTGACCGTAGGGGAACATTCAGAGGTAGAAATAATCTGTCCGCCTCACGACGGAATGATAGGGATTTTACCAATGGCATCAACTATTCCAATAGATTTGACTCAGGTATGTACGCATATAAATATACTGAGCCAGAGAAAAAAGCCGAGATAAAATTTAACCTATTGGAAGATACAAGAATTTCAAAATTATTACGGCGCCTGAGCAATGAGGAGGACCAAGAGAATTCTTTGCAAATATCTAAGAGGCTACTGGAAGTTTTATTGTTGCCCGACAATGCAACATACATTCGGAAATCATTTACAATCCTTCGGGACTCTATGCTGAACATCTTCCAAGTAGCACCTGGTCCACTAGCTAAGAAACAATGTGCCAAAGCATTAGGCAGAATGGGTTACATATTAGGCCATGATGAGTTTGACTTTACCAAGTACTTTAAATTGATTTTCAAGCAAAAAACCAATGAGGAAACCACTTGTTTGCTCATGGAAGCATTAAAAGAAACATACACACTGGAGAGAGAGAAGCCAACGATGGAGGAGACTAGAGCAAATTCAATAATAGTGGAGCTAATTGCCATAATGGAATCTACTGATAATATTGAAATTTTTAAGTTGACTTTAGATAATTTAATGAGCACTGTGGAGTTCTGGCCAAGCACTTTCCATGACCATTTCAAAGACACCATTGATCTTGTGTTTGGCTGGCATGTGGATTTTTCACAACCTCTGTCCAACATTGAATTTATTTCAAGGAGCCTCCAAAGGATTGCATTTCAATTCCAAATGAATTTCATGTTTTCAATAACTCTTATAGTGCACTTTGTTGAAGATATTGAAACATATTCAGAGCAAATGAAAATGGATGATAAATCATTTGATAATAACGCTATGGAGCAAACAACTGTTTACATACTAGCTCTAAACACGGTATTGAACTGTTTAAATAACAGTTCAACCGCGAACGATGAATTGTTTACATTGAAGCTTAAATTTGATGCTCTTAATCAAGTCATCTCGACGCTTACCGAAGCGTTAGAATACGTCGTACCCGATAATTTAATCATCGCTGGCAACGAAACTATTTGCTTGCTTTTGACGATGTTACCGACAAAAAGTATCCTGCTGAACGAGAGCATTTTGCAGTTGGTGGACTTGCAGATCTCGATTATACATGATTTATCTGATGCGACAATAATCTCGATGCTTATTATGATATCCAAAGTTATCAAGGAATTATCAGCCAAACTTCCTATCGAATTAATAACAAAGCTGGTCGGTCCCAATTCGGAGATTGTAAAACTTCGGAATTCTCCTTATAAAGACATACAAGTGGCAACAATAGGAGTTTATCAGGCATTGCTGAATTTGAAAAATATTCCGCTGCTTCAAGAAGCCTATAAGTACATACTATTCGATTTGGATGTATGTTTAAACGTAATTGTGCCAAGTAGGAGTGAAATATCCGAGATGAATCCATTCACTCCAATCGAGAAAAGCATCGAAGACGCTGAATTGGCTTGTTTGTTTCTTTTAAGGTCACTGTCTCAATTGGCAAATGCCAGTGGATCAATTATTGGGATGTGGGCGTTGAAGCCGAGCATCTTGGAGTTGCTGGCTGTCACACTTCAACCCTTCAATGAGCAGCTAAGTCGGAACGCACCAACCTTACAATACAGTATACTGTTTCTATTATATTCACACTGCAAATGCTATAACCATTTTATAAGCAGCAGCACTCTGGTAACAGATAAATTGAAAGGCGGCAGTAGGATGGGACTCCCAGATCACATAGAAGACGTGGCCAAGTCACCGAATTCTGGTAACTTTTCAATTATATTAAACGTCTTGCATAGAACACTGCTTACAAAGATTAATAACGAGATAATACTATTGCTGCTGCAGTGGTTCAACGAGATACTATTCTTTGCTGACCCTTACTTGGAAGTTATTTACAATAATTTGGAATTCTCAGAAGTGACAGGATTACTTGTACGTTGCTGTTACGTGAAGAACAATAACATCATCCTTGCAGCATCCAAAAATTTGGAGAAACTCCTGGGAAATAAACAGTTATCGTGGTGCAATGATTTCTTGCAAGAAATCAATAAGTTGTGCAGTATTCACATGGCATCGGCGAACAGCGAAGTTAGAAATAGTTTCTCGAAACTATCCAGTCACATACCCTGGGATGTGGCCATCGCTGAAATCGGGAAATCCGAAATCGTCGAAGCGAATCAAAGCAACTTAAGTAATTACACTTCGGCTAATATAACTTTGGCGCAACATCTGCATCTGAACGGAACCGTATTCGGCGAAATCACTTCACACCACTTCAAGAAGCTTATGGATTTTATGTTGAAGAACGAGTGCAACGATGAAAACCTTCTGGAGACAATATTCTTGAACTGTTGGCCTTTGGAGTCGGACAACCAACAGTTGAACGATCAGTTCAGAGAGCTGTGCACGAATTCACAGATCGTCCTGAACAATTGGATCACTTGGGAGGCCGCCCAGTTTTGCGTGAACAATAAGCTTAGAACGCCGCTCGGCAAACCGAACGAAACGTTCACCAGCTTTGAAAACAGCCTAAAACATTACGCCAGAGATGTTATGAAGATAAAGCAAGAGGATAACGTCAACGTCAATCAGAAGCACGTGCGATTGTTGTTGCAGTTTATTGAACACCTGGAGATGTGCATTTACAATGCTTCGGAGGGGTCGGCCATTGCCATTCCGCAGCCCTCGAAGCCGGTGAGAACTTTCTTCAGCACGAACGCTTCCACCTGTAGGGAATGGCTCTCCAGAATAAGAATTGTTTTGGTGCAGCTGAGTTTGCATGCCGGACAATCGGTGATGGCTCTGAGACATGGACAAGCGATGATTAAAGACCTGTACAACAATAACAAAACCGACACTGTCGACTTCGAGAGGGGTGTGATGTATATGACAATGGCCCTGCTGAATCTGCGAGAGAGCGAGGCCTTGCACGGTCTGTACATGTGGTGCCTCAAAGATGCTGGGAAGAAATACGATTGGATTAAGTGTGCAGCGGAGCAGGCCAACAAGAAATATGAATACGCGGCCGTTGGATATCAAAAGTTGATCGACGAAATTCTCACCACCAACGAGAATCAGATCGATACATATATTAAGCATTTCATTTCCGATCAAATAGTGCGATGCTACAAGGAAATGAACAATTGGTTGGATATTGTCGGATATAAGAATAACAAGATGAACCTTCTGCTGAACCCTACCGAAAACGGAATACGACATTCCTTTAATATCGTGAATTTCGATTGCGCCCAGGCCATTTTCAACTCGGAAACATGCGCTTTCGCATACAAAGAGCTGTGCAGTTGGGACGTTTACGAGGATGACTCTTGGAGCGTCTACGATACGCTGACTACAACTGAAAGCGAGCTCTACAACATTGCTCTGAATATAGGAACAACAGATACAGATTTCAACGCTAGAATTCAATCGAAACTTTCCAAGATCCAGTCTACTATACAGAACGGCATTTTGCAACTGCCATCCGATTTTCATCAAGAGTTTTGCCTATTAAATTACGTGGCCAACGGTCTTCAGAATATATCAAACAATGTTTCTGCGAGTACAGTGTTCCTAGTGTCAGATAATTTCGAACGTGAAGTGGTTAAAGTAGATTCGGTGATCCTCACGAGGATTCTGTGGTGGTCCGAGTATTTTACGCAAATTCAAAATCAAGGATTCAGTGCATTTTCAAGTAACTTACGATTGAACATCATCAAGCAGGCTCGAAAGGAATCTAATTACAACATGGCCAGCTCTCAACTATACAGATTCTTGAGCAGCAAGAGTTTCCTGAAAGAAAATAACCCGAAAACGACCAGTCTTTTAGTGAACATTGCCGAATCGTTTAAAGCCAAATTACCAGAGATCAGTATGTGGAACATGGACACGGCCCAAGGAGCTAAAGAGTTAATCAAGTTGATTTACGAGGACACCGACGATAAGAGGTTGGCCTTTGATCTGTGCGCCGTTGCTTCTACCTCCATATCAAAATACGCAGATATATATAGAGATTTGGACCTCAAGCAGGTGAGCTCGAAGATTTTACTGAAACTAGCTACATGGCTACAGAGCAACGATTCGATTTCCTTGAGCGAATTCTCGAGTCCGCTGGGAAAACTGCTGATGGTCCTTCCGGAGATCGGTGTCGAGAATATAGGAAACAATATCATCCCGCTAAATGATATGGTCATTGGAAAACTGTTGCAGTTCAGCGTGAATCAGTGCCAGACTTTGTCCAAAACTTGGTACGCCTTTGGTACTTGGTGTTACAGTTGGGGCAAAAAGATTGTCGACAACAGTTCGGATTTTACGAACACTTTATCGTTAGAGGATCAGAATGCCATTCAATCATTGCTGCCTCTAGATTGCAAACCAGAAGATCTGAATAGAATATTGATGATTTTATCTCAAACACGGACGCACGTCGACGAAGAGGACATAGATTCCAACGAAATAAACACCTCAGAAATGATCAAAAACCAACTGAAGAACGTGCACATATTGTTTAACGCGCCAGAAACCGTGATCGATACATTAGTGCAGATTTGGAGGAATCTTCAGAAGCGAGTGTACGCTTATTACGAGCATAGCGTCGATGCGTATTTCAATTATTTGCACTTGGCGACCTACAGTGAAAATATATCAAAAGCAACCGAGTCGAATACAATTACGGTGACATTAAGACTGTTGAGATTAATTGTGAAGCATGCTTTGGAACTGCAGATAGTCTTGGAAAGAGGCTTGACTCGAACACCGACGCACCCATGGAAAGTCATTATTCCACAATTGTTCTCTAGACTCAATCATCCTGAGAGCTACGTGCGAGAACGTGTTTCAGATTTATTGTGCCGTGTTGCAGAAGATGCACCACATCTCATCACATTCCCAGCAGTAGTTGGTGCACTCGAGGGTGGAGTGAAATTCGACTTCTCCGAGATATCTCTGCCGAAAGATTGTTTATCGCAAAATAATGATATCAATGATGATTCTGAAATAAACGAGATTGAGGACAATTATGAAAGCGACGACGAAAGTAAGAATGTGCTGCAATCTTGCTTCAAATCTATGGTGGAAACGCTTAGCAATCAAGCTGCCGAAACCATAACTCAAGTGCAGCTCTTGGTTAAGGAGCTACGTCGTATTATTCTGCTGTGGGATGAATTGTGGTTGGGAACGTTAACCCAACATCAAGGAGAGATCACCAAACGGCAGCAACAGTTGGAAATCGAAATCGAAAAAGTGAATTCCAATTTGCACCTGAGTCCAGAAGAGAAGATTTCAATAATATCAGAGAAACATCGTATTATTCTAACTCCGATCGTCTTCATTTTGGACCAACTTTACGACATTACCAGTGTGGAACCGGAAACGCCGCACGAGCAACAGTTCCAGGATAAGTACTTGACTGTAATCCGGGATGTGCTGAAAAAACTGAAGAATCCGGAGAATCCAGATAAACCGCAGGAAACGTGGCAGGTGATCAAGGACCTGCAGCATCAGTTCCAGCAGAAAGCTCACAAACGCAATCTGCTCAAGATGAAGGATATAAGTCCGGTGCTAGCTAACATCAAGGATACGGAGATATCGATGCCCGGGCAAGCGCTGAAAACGAATGTAAGAATTTCGCACGTTTCCAATCAAGTGTCGATCTTGCCGACGAAGACAAAACCCAAGAAACTGGTTTTCCACGGATCCGATGGACAAACTTACACTTACCTATTCAAGGGTTTGGAGGATTTGCATTTGGATGAGAGAATTATGCAGTTTTTGAGTATTGCGAATACCATGATGGCGCAGAATACCGAAGGAACTGGTCACAATCTGTATAGGGCGAGACACTATTCGGTAATACCATTGGGACCTAGGTCGGGATTGATCAGTTGGGTCGGTGGAACTACTCCGGTTTTCGCCGTCTACAAGAGGTGGCAGCAAAGAGAAGCGCTGAAGGCTTCTAAGAACGTCAATACTACTACTGTTCTAAGACCATCCGAGTTGTTCTACAACAAATTGAACCCTTTGCTGGTGGAGCACGGCGTCAAGAACATCGAGAACAGGAAGGAGTGGCCTTTGGTGGTACTTAAGCAAGTGTTAACGGAATTGATGAACGAAACCCCGAGTAATCTCTTGGCTAAGGAGTTATGGTGTCATGCTGTCAATGCAGGAGAATGGTGGCAAATTGTTAGAAAATATACGTACTCTGTAGCAGTTATGAGCATAATCGGATACATCATCGGACTCGGAGATAGACATTTGGATAACGTGTTAGTGGATCTAAATACCGGAGAAGTCGTCCACATAGATTACAATGTGTGCTTCGAGAAAGGAAAAACGCTGCGAGTTCCAGAGAAGGTTCCATTCAGGCTAACTCCGAACATTCGAGATGCCCTAGGTGCAACTGGAGTTGAGGTATGTCTTTGGCTTTATTTATACCTAATTTATGATACATTGATAATATATATATACATATTTAAATGCATGCTAACAGTGCTGCGAATACTGTTTATTGCTTTATTTATATATATAATCTAAATTTAATTCCATTCGCTGCTACCCTTAAACATAGTGCTTTCAGTTTAATGCAAACAACCTTTCCCTACATACGTAATCAATCAATCGACTTAGTACAATGTAATTCGTACAATTATTTGTTTGCTTAAGATAACAATAAAAAAACAAACAGCAGCAGCATAAGGACAGCGAATCGGGAATGTTACGGATTGACAAGCAGTTATCACAGTGTCGGTTATCGGATTTCGCCAGCTGGACCTTTTAAGATATTGCACAATATCGACTGCAAATGGAAATTACTAGAAAAAAAAAATGTATGACGAAGGGGGAGCTAAGTAAATTGAGAGAAGCACCGTATTTATGGATGTACGGTGCATTTATTATATTACTTTGCAATGCCAAAAGCATTCCAGTACACATCTATTTCTGCGCTGTTTACATTAGATTCGAGAGCTCCATTAACGATGTGACTGGATTTGCTTCTCCAACATGTCTTTGTTGCAAATCGTGGTCGAAGAAAGGGTTGTCGGATTTCAAATTTAAGAATCCAACAAATATTTGCTCTCCGCATTCGCTTACGTAACTCGCCGCCCACTGTTGTTTTTGTTTTTGTGGTGGTTACTCTTTTAATTTCATAATTTATGTCAGGTTAATTGCACGCACACGCATATTTATATATATACACACACACATATTTTGAAAAGATAAATGTAATCATTATTTATCCCGTTCTCTTCCCATCGGGGCCAGCTGCTTCCAGTCACATCGCTATCTCCGATTAACCCATAAATAATATTACCCCCATCGCGGCAGGTCAAAAACAATCAATTACGAAAAAGCAATCTCTTCTGATGATTAATTAACTCACGGATGGTTGTTAAAAACTACATTTCGTTCGTTGCTACACAAGTTGTTACGATTGTGGCGTCGCTGTTCTCGTCGCACTTCCTGCCGCACTGCATCTCTATGGTCTTCGTGCCATCCTCGACGATGATGCCGTCGCCGCAGATGACGGTCATCGAGTTCCTCTTCGTTTTCCCGGATGGCACGTGGTCCGTTATGTAGTTGGGCTCTTGGTTGAGGGTGCGCGGCGATCGGCATCGCAGCATGCAGCCGAACGCCTTTCGGAAGTTCTTGTTCTTCCACGCGTAGATCACCGGGTTCATGCAGGAATTCATCACGGCCATCGTGAATGTCGCCTCGTACAGGAGATACGATTCGAAGTTCACGTAGAATCTCATGAACGTGATTATCACGAAGTACGGCAGCCAGCAAACCGAGAAACAGCCCAGTATTAGTAAAACCATCTGGAACAAACGTTGTCATTTTTAATGAGGAATGGTGTCTATCTTATCTTCAAACAAAATTCTATTAACATCCTTGTAATCTTTTCAGGCTACTATTCAACACTATTAGAGATTAAACACGTTTCATGTTTTACAACGTTGTTGATACATATGCTTATGCATTTTGATAGTAATAGTGCTACTGAACTACTTAGATTATTCACTTTAATACTCTTATTATATTATTTGGGAAAATACTTTGTAATTTCCAACATCACTTCAAAATATTACATACATGTTGTTGGTTTCAATAATGTATGGATAAAGGTTGTTACATTTCAATTAGAGAAATTTAACTTTGAAATTTTGTAATATAACACAACCGTATTTCCACATATACGTTTCGTAATTTAAACAAAGTGTAAAAGTCTATTTATTATCTTCCCTACCATAAAATTTATCGCGTCAGATACGAAAAATCGATTGACCGAAGAATATTCAATTATTGTTGCACGTGTAATATGTTTTTGTTTCTAATTTAAAGCAAACTATTTCGTCAATAATCAGGAAATAAATACTTTAACAATTTTTAAATTTTATGAACAATTAATAGAAATGTAAATAGTTTTAATTTTGAAATTTTCTTCTTTTAAATTCGTCTGTTATGTTTACATATTAGTTATTATGTAGTAAGTAGCACTCGATGATGTGGAAATTAATAACGTTTGGCTAAGAGTCCATAAAACCCGGTACTTAATGATTCGTGTCAATGACCAAGGACGCAACGATCATAATAACGCGTTACTCTTTAGTTTTTCCTTCAGCGCGTAACAGTGGCCGTGATTATTACTTCCTGGCAAATTTTCAAGTTCAATTGGAACTGGAATTTAAGGCCAGAATCTTCATTAATAAAAACCCATATCTCACCATCGAAAGTTAAGTTATTTATTGGCGATTAAATCATGTTTCCATGCATATTTATGTTATAAATATTTGCTAGTTTAAAAATATTTCACTTGGCACCGGACCCAGAAAGCAATAAAGATTCCGCTTGTTTTCGTTTATTAATTAAATCGCTCTCTCCAGATATTCCGATTGTGCCCATCTCCACTTCAAATTTCTGTTTAATTTCAATTTTTTACTTGTGCTTAATTGTTTTCAATCATGTTTTTTGGTATCATTTTATACAACAATTTATAGCAAAAGATGTATAAATTGTAAATTATGTATATCTAACTGAAATGTGAATTAATAGTAATCAGCGTTCACGAAACGTAACAGAACAGTGTAATGCAATTTTGATTATATTGGAATTATTTTTTATGACTGTTCATCGGATCTTAATTAATTGAGATCGTGAAAATAATTAGATTAAAAATCCGTCCTCACAAACTTACGACTATGTCTAATTAAATATTGTGCCATGAAAGCGATATATTCCATTTTTATGACGCCGTCCCTCTTCTGTTGGATTTCGTGTAGAGAGCGATCAGAAAATGTACTCAACGATAGTCAATATTGAAAGGTTCCAATTCCGTTGGCGTTATTACATAATTATGAAATTCGTTTTTAAATAACAACGCTTAAGTGTGTCTGGCGTGGGATTCCATTAAATGGAAGATAAATGGAGAGAAATAGAGGCGATATCAAAAGAGATATTTCGGCAATTTGCGGTGACCCTGTATCGTAGGTAATCGTTTCCTACCAGAAATTGCAGCTTATTAAACAAATTTCGTTTGTTTCTTTTCTCTTCTTTATTTTATGAAGTGACCATTAAATGATAGTTGTTGAGAGGCCATTTTTTTTTTAAACAAAGCCAAACTAGTTTTGTATTCTTCTTCTGAACTTTGATCCGTAATTTACACCGATTTATTTTTTAATCTTTTTATTTTAATGGTTTAAAATGTTGTGATTTCAATGTAGCAACGAATACAACTTTTTGTTGTTGATGAATTGTATTTCTTTTCGTTTGTCACACCTACCTGGACCGATTTGTTTTCCTTGAGTATGTTCTTCTGTTTGGACTGGGTGGCTTGGCTGAGGCGTTTCGCGTGCTCTGCTGCTTCTCGCCATATACGAAAGTACAATAGAGACATGACCAGCCATATCGAGAGGAACATTGGAGTGACGATGAAGTTGATGTACTTCTCAGGAAGGACCGATTCCAAGGTGCAGTTGCATCCACTCTTCCAGTCGTTCCAATATATTGGAGTGGTGGCTATCGTGAAGGATAAACACCATCCGGAGAAGACGATGCAGTAGACGATCCTCTTGCTCATGTACCTATGGCATAGCATGCAATAATAGCCGTGGGAGATGCGATGGCGAAGATAACGCGTTGATATTAAACTGACCTGCTGTAATGAAAAGGGAGGACGATGGCAATATATCTGTCGGCCGCTATCGCAAGTAGATTGTAAATTGAGCTCGAGCACGCCAATATTATGAATACGAAGCGCAGGACGCATGTGGTCTTGTAGGAGGGTAGCATTGTCTTGCCGATGGTGAATGCCAAATGGTACGGTATGGTCAGACCAACCATCAAATCGCTGACTGCTAGACTAAAGATGTATCTGTTGGACAGTAGCTCGGACAGCTTCTTGCTGAGGACGATGGCGCAGATAGTCAAAACGTTCCCAGCTAATGTTAATATTATGATCACTGTGTCGATGGCAATCCATGCGGCCTTCTCCTTCGCGTGCTCCATATTGTATGTTCCTACTTTTCGTTGTTGCTGTTCGACTTCCGAATTTTATTATTGGAACAACACAGATAACGTGCGCACACACACACACTACATACTATAGGATTCATTCACTCCATCATATCTGACCGCAAGGAATGGAATGGCTTTACCACCAGACCTTCGAACTACTGAACAAGTTCCTCGTTCAATTTATATGCTGCTGTTGCATCACTATTATTTTGATGTTGTATTTAAATACTCGCGCAGAATTCATAATCACCGTAGAGTTGTATCCTCCAGTGGATTGCGCGTCGAACTGATGCGGATTGATTCACTTTTGCAACTTGAAAATATTTCGTGCTTCCCTCACTCACTCTCTCCTCTCGCCTTCTTTAACCCGCACAAAGCATGCGTCGACTCATTTCGATTCTGTTCCACAGGGCATGTTTCGGTTATCCTGCGAGAACATCTTGAAGATCATGAAGAAGGGCAGAGAGACGCTGCTCACTCTGCTCGAGGCATTCGTCTACGATCCTTTGGTTGATTGGACCGTTGGTAATGACGGACTGGTGGGAACCACCTTCGGCAGCAACTCGACCATCAAGCAGAGCAGAAGAGTCCTGGAGAAGGAGGTCACCCTCTCCATGTACAGAGTGCGGTGCACCGAGCTCAAAATGGAGTGGGATATTAATAGGTTTTCTTTCTTGCTGCGCCCCGCAAAAGAATCAACGATTAACAATTATTTTTTAGAATTGATATTCATGACAAGCTGCCGTGCATAAGGAACCAAATGAAGGAATGGCTCGAGTGTTGGCATACAATTTCAATTACCGAAGACCTCTTGCAGGATCTCCACCAGCAAATGGCGCTGGTCAAAGAGGCAGAAGCCAATGGGCTCTCCAAGCACAGCCTGCTCACGCTTCCATCTCGTTACGAGTCCTATCGAAGGACCAAAGACGTTGTGACGCATGCCAAGCAGGATCTGGATAAAATTGTGTCCGATTGCGAAATTCATTTGGATAAATTCATGGACGCCATAAAAACACTACAAACGCAGCAGACGCAGCAATGGTTCTTGGAAATGCAGACGAACGTCGAACTAAAGACTGTTTTCAGTTTGGTAAAGGAATTCTTGCAGAACGCCGGGCAATCTTCGATGATCTCTCAATGCGAGCAAAGCGAGAATGACGTTAAACATCTCGCCGAACAGCAAACCCTGCTCACCACCAAATGTCTTAACATTCTGCAAGAATACTGGACCATATATTCGCAATGCCCGGTTTCGTTTCTGGAGAATCACAGGATGTACCACTATCTGAAATGGGGTAAAATGCTGCAAAACACCAGGGATTTAAGTATCGCTGAGAATATCTTCCAACAATTAATAGCGCTAAAAAGTAACAATTCCAAGCGCAAAACCGTCATCATCAATTTCTCGTACCATCTCAATGTACTCTACAACAGTACCGTCGAGCAGTTGAGTAAAGCTTTCGAAGAATTGCAAGTATGCCGAGTGGAAGAATCGAGCGCCAGTTCGGAAGCGAGATATTTAGAATCGAAGAAGTGTTTGGCCAACTTCCTGGCGCACGAGAAGGGCGCAAACCGAGCACTGGAATTCGTGATCGTCAGTGAACTCCTACTGTTAAATAGAACGTTCTTGACCTTAGAGAATACGGCCTCGAAAAGCGGCGATTGGCTCGTCAAATTGGCTTCCAGGGACAGCGACTGGTTCCTGGATGATATATCGATGACCTCTGCCAAAGCCATAGAATTGATCAACATTTTAAATATTCAGAACAACATCGAGGAAGACTCGAAATTGATGAAGGTGGTGAAAGGACTGCACTCTGCCAACGATCTGTATAAGAGCCTGCACGAGCTGAGCTTCAATTTTCATACGATCATTTTGCCCGAGAGCTGGAAGAAAATTCAAAGCGAAGAACCGACTGTACTGTTGATGATCAACGACCTTAATAACATGATCGTCAACATCGGCGTTTCGCTGCCCGATTTGGTGGTACAACTAGAAAAGCATCTAACATGCGTCATCATGGAAATGGATCAAAATGTATGTATACATTTATATTCAGTTATTATTTACTTATTACTATTGTCTTCTATTATAGCCTACATATGAAGTAATTCAGAACAAAATATCTACGTTGAAAATGCAGTACCAGTTATTATTGCATTCAAATACGCCAACTCTGAGTCCAGGCAAAATGCTCCTAATGGGTTTCAACGGATTATTCGACAAGTTGAATCTTGAGTTTGATAATTTGGCAAATATTCTTATTAATTTGGAGATTCCTGCCTGTTGGAGGAAAGTGGATCATGTGAAGGAAGCTAAGTCTTTGGCAGCGCCTATTTTCAATCCGCAGGTACGAGCGGTATTAGAGGATATATTCTTCTTGAAGCGGTTGCAAACGATGTACGAGTTCTTTTCACTATGTATGAAAATGTACACATCTTTCCAAGGTCAAGGAAGGGTGACCGTGTTAAGCGACGAGGAGCTAATTAAACCCATTAGGAAATTTATAGCCGATTTCATTAGCCGGCAATTTTTGGGTATAACCACAGAAGCCATAGCTTACATAATTTGCTTCATCCTTCAACGTCTAGGCTTGGATGTTACCAACGAAATCGAACAGAAGGATATCGGAGCCGAACACAAGGTTCCATTGGACGAGCTCTATCACATAGGTTGGAACAACTTTTTGAAAAATGGCACTTTTACCCAGAATGTTCTGGCGCAAACGTCCAGCATTGAGAACAACGTGAAGAGCGCTTGGGAAAAAATGCAAGAGCCTAAAAAGTTGGAGAAGAACGTCACATTGCTGCAAAGCAGCGTGAGTCGCATACAGAACCAGATCTCCATCCATTTCTGGCTGTACGAAGAAATTATATCGTCGCAAATCATTGACAAAAATAATTGTTTCCATCGCAGGATTATACAGGATTTGAGGAAGATCGTTGCTGATATAATGAACGTTCAATCCAAAATATTTGAAGCCAGAGAGAAACAGAAGAATCTTATTGCAAGCGTCGAGCAACGCTTGAAGTGGGCGGCCGGAGCCAATCCCGATCTTAACAATACAATGATCGCCTTTGAAGAAGCCATCGCTGAGAGAAACAATCATCTGGAGGTTGAAAAGAAAGTCACCTCCATGACTGTAGCGACTTGCTCGGTCATTCTACATCATGAAGCCTTAAGGAATACGACTCCCGAGTCTTCGGCTTACGATCAAGTGTTTCTGAACACTCACGCGAAGTGGACGAACGCCTGCCAATACAACAATGTCAAAGTGGATGCGGTTAGCTTGGTGGAGGAGAATATCATGAAACTATACAGTCAAGAGATGACGCAGAATCCGAAATGGATCAACCAGATCTCGGAAAAGGTATCCGAGACCATTAAGGCCACGCAGAAAGATCTGAGCGAATATAAGGCAAAACTGCACACTATTAATGCCGACGTGCTGCTGAACATCGAATCCTTCAAGAAATGCTACTCGGATCACTGCAAGGTAACCTTCGATTTCAGAAACGTGCTGAAGGCTATGTCCAAGATGGACGAGTGCGGCTTCAAGTCACAGCAGTTCTTGAACAACCACAAGACTTACATCGACATCTTCTCGGGACTGCTGATGCGCTTCAAGAAGGAAGAATTCAGACTACCGGAGATTGAAGCGTCCATCGAGAACTTGGACTATCTGGCATGCCACACTGACAACATCTACAAGAGCTTATTTGAGCTGGAGAGCAAGAAGGCGGAGAGACCGCAGCTTGTCCGACAAGACGGTATGACGCTGAGCCCGATGAGAGCACCACCTTCGAAACAGGAAAGCATGACGAAGGGACAACAACGAAACGCTTACGCAGTCAGCGTGTGGAGGAGGGTTAGGATGAAGTTATCCGGGAAAGATCCAGACCCCGGACGGAAATATTCCATACAAGAACAGGTATGATTCGATGATCTTTTTTGTACACAGTTAATAATAACAACGAATAAATGTATCGTTGCAGGTGGATTACGTGATCAGAGAGGCGAGTAGCCTAGATAATCTGGCCCTGCTGTACGAGGGCTGGACTCCATGGGTTTGAGGAACGATGTGAGGCAGTCACCCTGCCTGGATCTCCCTCTGTACCAATAGAGCGCCGCCCGGTGAGTGCGCCGACAGTCAGCAGCAAATTAAAAACAAACTACAAAAAAAAAACAAATCAAAAAGCGTCATCCCTAACTCTAAATAGTTTCTGGTTGGGTTGCTTAGTTTTATTGCTATGCAAAAATTAAACCACTCGGACGAAGCAAAATTGTTAAGTAAAACATGCCAAACAAAAATAAGTTTCATATCTAGGGCTAACAAAACGGTGTGTTGTCCCGAACAAAACAAATTGGGGAACCCACTAAATGCGAAAACAACAACAACATTGGTGAAACGAATTTTTGCAGATCAGTAAAACTATTTGAATACTGATAAATGGTAATCGATTGAACTGCTGCTTTTATTTTTAATTATTCGACGTTAATGTCAGATTTGATATAATAAAAAAAAAAAGTAAACAATATCAACAACTGCGACGAAAACAAATAAACAAACAAAAATGAGCAGTCGAGTTTGAATCTCTTCGCGTTGCAAGTAAACAAACACCATCCAAATTGGTTCGGCAAATTGGGACAACTTATGAAACAAATCTCCAGCCATCATCATCCGACCCAAAACTACAAATCGAGCCGAACGAATTTTTTTTTTTAAATTTAATAAAGTCGTAATTATTTGTACTACTGATGTAAACGTCTTGATTGATTGAATATGATGAAAAACACCTATTTTTAATTGATGAAGAAAATTTTAGTACGATGTTTTTTTTTTATTATTATTTCTTTCTTTTTATTCATTAAAGTTTCTTTTTTTTTATTCAATTTCTTTTTAGCAGTGTATGATGATGTAATTTAAACAAAATCGAAACAAGAAATATATTAAAAACAAACAAACAAAAAAATCACGTAGTAGTTATATAATATAAATAACAATGGTTTTTCTTTCTTTTATTTAATAATGTAATTGTTATAACTGTTAAAATTTAAATAATAATTCGCTTTACGTTTTCGAGATAATTTTACTTACTGTTTCAATTATTTCATTTTCTCTCTTTTAGGCTACTGTTCTTAATATATTCTTTATTTTACGCCATATATGATGTTTGTTTTATTTTATCTTCCCACTCACTCTTCCTTATTTTACTCTTAAGTTTTCTGTGAGTAAAAATTCAAATCCAATAAGTTATAGTGTTTTTATCTGTAATTATTGTTAAATTTCTTGATGCACATGCACAAAATTCACTTATCCTTCTGTAACTTGAAAATAGTTTACAATGTATAATGTTTTTTTTTAATTCGTTCTAGCTAAATTTATTTACTCGCACAATAACAACAACAAAAGAAATTACCTTCCCCACGTATATGTTTTTTTTTTCGCGTAGATATCGGACAGTTAATTAACAATATAATTTTATAAATTCTATATATTTTTTTATCAATTATCACAGCATATAAAACTTAAATCCGCGGAGCGCTCGAAACTCCATTATAACGGTAAGTAAAAATAAACACCCCGAACAATAATATACATTCAAATAAGGATAAAAATTACGTCAGGGTCAAATTAGCTTTTGGAGTTGCGCTGCTGCTTCAGAAGTTCGTCGATTTGCGCTTTGTACATATCCTTGACATCCACCAAGTCCAGCTTCAGCTCTTCAGATTCCTCGACTTTCTCCCCATACAGCTGACACATTGTTTCGTACTGCTGCTGCAATTCCTCCAACTCATTTTTCACTACGTCGTAATCTTTGCACTGAATCTCGAACTCTTCGACACGCGTCAGCAGATTCGAAATTTCCGCATTAAGGAGCGTTCTCTCGTGTTCCCTTCGGTTTAACTCCCATTGCAGCTGCTGCACCTCTCCATCTCTCTGCTTCAAGCTGGTTTGGAACATTTGCATCTCTAGCATATTGGTGCATCTAGACACGGAGCTCACTTCGAAAGGTTCATCCTAGAATGAAATTATAAAAAGTTAAATGAATTAAGTTCTACAATTAAACTTATGTAGTACTTACAGATGGCCAAAGTGAACTATTAAGGGATTCCGAAAGTGAAACTCTACCAATACTTAAGGCTGGAGAAACGGTTCCCGGATTCGGTGAAGTCCGGGTAAAATTAGCCAAAGAATCGTTCCGGTCACGAATTTGCTCCTAAACAGTAATTAAATTACATTAGAACAATAATCGCGAATTTGTGCAATAGAATTACTTGTAAGACCATGTTACGTTTCCTCTCCGATTCGTTTGCGGATCTTTCGCTGATCAACGTCTGCTGCAACAATTCGATTTCCTGCTGTAACTTATCAATAATTTCTTGCTCGCTTTTAATTTTCTGTTTCAAATTATCCACTTCCCTATAGGAAAAAAGGAAAAGTTAAAATCTGGTAAACTCCGTTCTTATTGGGACGTTTACATACCTATTCGCATCTTGCTCTGAACCATCTTATCAGTTTTCTGTTGCTCCAATTGCATTTTTATCATTTCATTCTCGTGCATGTAAGTGGTGATCTGATTATCCAAGGCGGTCAATTTCGATTTCAGCATAACGCACTCATCTTTAATAGATTTCTCCGATTCGTTAGAGCCGTGCAGCTTATTTTGCAATTCATCTAAGCAAATAAAGAGTATAATAATGGTATTTGTTAAATAAACGAAAACCTCTTACTTATTTTAATAACAAAACCCTGCTCGATCTTCTCGAAACTGGCCAACTTCATATTGTGTGTAGCCTGAAGAGTTTCCAGCTGACGCACCAACGGTTTACTGACTTCGAGTACCGACTGTGTTAATTCCTCATTTCTACTTTCGGCCTCATCCAATCTTCTGAGCAAATCCATGTTCTCCGCACGCAAGCCCTGCTCCTTCTTCAAATAAACCTGTTCAGCATCACGCATCTTTGATCTCAAATCTTCCAGCTGATTGATGATCTCTTCGTTTTGGGATTCCGTCATGCGTTTCTCATTTTCCAAACTTTGCAGCATATGCTCCCTGTGCAACAGTTCGCTGCTTGCCCTATTCTTATCGAGTAGCTCTTTCTTGGCTGCATCCAACGACTTTTTAACCGTCTCGTGCTTCTGTTGCAGATCGTCGTAATTATCCTTCAACTGATTGAACTCGAAATCAATTTTCTTATTTTTCGCAGTCAATTGGTGGACTGCCTCGATCTGTGACCTCTCTACTTCTTCTTTGGCTTGCAGCGATCTCTTCAGACGATCAGTTTCCGAAGACAAATCTTCCACCGATTCTCTACAAAATAATTTAATAAAAGAAATAGTCCAAGTAATTAATTCATTGATTTATAACTTACTTGAGGTGCTTAATGGCGGTTTCGTTATCCTTTTCCTTCGCTCTAAGTTTCTTAATAATATTGGAATGTTGTAGCTGCTGCTTGGACAACTTTTCACCTTCCTCACGAAGCTCTCTAATCGTCTGAATTTTCTCTTCCAACACAATATCCATTTCACTTTTGCTCATTCTAGTAGAGCTATCGAGTTTGCATTGTTCAAGTTGCTTCCGCAAGTTATCTTTCTCTCTGATTGCTTGCTGGAATTTTCTCTCCAATGCAGACAAACGTTGTGTGTATTCCTCTGTGACTTGCGAGAGGTCTGCAGACTCTAACTGCTTATTAACAATCTCGTCCAGCTGCTTGCGGAGGTGACTGTTGGCTTCTTGTATTTCAGAGTTCTTCCTGGTGATTTCGATTAATTTTGACTCGCGCGATTCCAGTATTTCCGTCATCTCTGATAACCGTTTGACTAGTCTCTCTATCTCCGTATCATCGCTGATGCTGGACGCTTCCGACAACTCCCGATTGTGACCCTTAATTTTCTTGAATGTCATTTTTCCCAGTAGACTGTCGATGTTTGTGTCGCCCTTGCTTTTCACTACCACCGGTAATTTCGCTGGGCTGTGTCTGCTATGAGTACTACTGGAATCGCCATTCGGACTGGATATAATCTCGATGTCCGATGATGTTGTGGTTTCGAATTCATCGCCTGAGGTGTGGCCAGAGGTATGGTCGGAACCGATTTTGACTAAATCCGAGCGACTCTCCGAGCTGAACGGTGATGTTTCCCTAGGGGGCATGTCTAATTGTACGATTGAAATATTCTCCAGCGCTTCTGCAGCCTGACTGGAGTCAATCATGCTTTGGGTTAGATCCATGAAATGGTTTGCCTTCGGCTCGCTATCGCGTTTCTCCGTCATAGCATCGGCAAGCATGTTCTTCAAATAAATTGAATTCGTGTTGCTATCGGTAGTTGTGCTTGTGTCGCTGCTGCTTTCCATCACGCTATCGCTTGATACAATAGTCTTATCCGATTGAGCTCCCTCGTCGATTTCATTCCTGACCGTTTCGTTGCTTTCCGATGGAATATCGATTATGTTAGAAGTTTTATTTAAGTTAGTCAAGTCCTGTTTCACGCTCTGAGGTTGGGTATCTATAAGATTCAGTGGAAGATGCATTCCCCCTCGACTCGGAGCTCGTGTTATAGGAATTTCGATTAAGTTAAGTGTCTTGTCAGGACTTAGTGAAATATCACTAGAAAAGCTCTCCGCCATCTTCTCAGATTTCACTAAAGCAATAGATTTAGGTTTTAAATTCAAATTAAGACCTTCGAATACAGTCGTCGCAGTACTTTCAGAGACGGAATTATAAGATATTGTGTCGTCCGCCATGCTGTTCTCATCCGCATCATCTGGAATCACCTCCACACTATCCGGTGTCATTTTCTCGCCGCTGCTATAACAAAATTCCAGTTAAACAATAAAGTTCGAACCGGTTCGGATCATAATCGAGATTTCGATAAAGACCCAATTCGAACTTGTAATATTACCCAACATCGTCTGGCGTTTGCAAAGGTGAGACGAATTCGTCCGTGTATTGGGACTGCCGTCGACTAGAAATACTATCAGTTCCTAATACTTCCACTGAACTGGGACTTGTTAAACTATTTGGTAGCACTTCTACAGAGTCAGATGTTTGTTTAGAGCCTAGGTATAAAATTATTATCAAAACATATTGAAAGAAAATGATATTTATGATTTTATTACCTAAAGCAGAACTGGTAGAAATTGAAAGAGCTTCAGATTCTGGTGATGTTGTGCATCCAGTCCCTCCATTAACTACTTCAACACTCTCAGAACTCTTCCTATCACTATCAGTGCTTACAATTGAAACTCTATTATCTATATTTCCTGGCTCCATCTCTCTATGCTTGACAGCAGAAGTGCTATCACTAGATGCTATAAATTTATTACATAAAATCAAGTTTATCAACAATCAGTCGAATATCAAATATTACCAGCACTCTCCAAATTCTCATCTTCATTGTTTTCAGGTGTAGCAACAAATGACAAAACATCTGGATCTTCGCTGGTCTGGACAACAAGTTTACTGCCACTGAAATGTTCTATACCTAAATCAGCAGAATCATCCAAGCTATCCACTGAATCTTTGCTATCCTTTTGCACCAAGCTTTTCTCATATGGATCGAAGAATGAGCCAGTGAAAGACCCCCAAATACTTGTGGAGCCCTTAATACTTTTGTATGAACTTTTTGTTATCACTTCTTCACTGGCCTCCTTATTGGGAGTGCCAGCATTGCTAATTCCCCAGTTTCCAAAGAAATCATCAGAGTTTGTATCTATGGGGGTGTTCGCAGGCACTGTTGTAGTGTCCCCACCATCATCCTTGATGTCCAGGGCTTTATCAATTGTCCTCTGGGCCTCTTTCAAAGCCGACTTGGCAATACTTGCTATTCCTGATGTATCAAACCAGCTCATCTTTATTGCAGGATAGCAGCAGGAACCCCTTAACTTTCAATTTCACATCAAATAAGACCGCTCATTACATCACAGCGTTCATTTTCTACTTAAAATTTACTAATATTAAAATGTAACCGTTCAAGACTATTTGTTTTTAATTTTGACAAGAGCACACGTCAATGCTATCCGTCAATTAATTTTAACTCCCAGTTAAATCGCAAGATGGCTCAAAGTGCCCATGAATTTATATACTGCAAATTTAGGCAACTTAAGTTGCAAATCACTCACGTTTCTATTATTTTAATTCTAGTTTACAATTAAAAGTTGAGAGAAAACATACATTTCTTTAACATTATTTCATAAATTTATTATAATAATTTGTATAAATCAAACATATATATATGTCTCTATAATTAAAATGATATTTATCTCCATTTTATACTTTCCTATAAATATAAATGAATATAGAATTTCCTTGTAATGTATACAAATACTATTTGCATTGTTTCTTTTCAATTTCTATTTCTAGTAATCTTATATTGAGCTTCTTTCCTTGCACCTCCAAAGTATGCAATTCCTGAAATGCCTGCATCTCTTGTTTCACTTTTTCATATTGTTGTTCTTTAAGTCTCAAATCCATCTCAAACTCCTGCTGCTTCCTTTCCTCAGCTTTAATTAGAGATTCAAGAACAATGTAACTCTCCTTCTCTTTCTACAATATAAAGGTACTGTAATAACATTATATAAGTTTGCTATTTAGTATATATACATGTTTCTTATAATCAGGTCCATCTGTAATTGTTTCCATATCCTCAGGTATATCAGTCTCTATCTTTATATTATCTGAAAGGTAATAATGAATGTTTGCTTCCCAATATTATCCTAAATTTGTTTACCTTCTACTAGATAGTCTTGGTCTTGATCACATTTAACAATCAGTGGTAACACACCCATAATTGAAAGCAATTTCTCCTCATATTCACTGTACTCTATAATCTCACCATTTGCTCTATAAGATTTTCTTCTGAGCTCCTTTTTGAGACTTTCATACTTTCCTCGAATTGCTACACTTGTTTGGAGAAAATAAGAGTAGTTAACAAAATGTGTCTTTTTTTTAAATATTTTCACAGTATACCCACCATCTGGTGTTCTTGGCTTATCATATTTTCCACTTCCTGAATTAAACACATCTGTAATGAAGATCCAAGCATTCTTCTTCTCCTGCCATGTAACTGCATCACTGTTCTTGTTCTCAACTATGTGCTTGTGTTTCATAACCAGATCTATCAACAGCTTTTTCTCTGCAGTACTGAAATTCTCTGATCTCTTCCTTTTCAACACCTTATTTTCTTGTTCCATTGTCATCAGATATATTAATCACGGCCAATTGCAACATGGAATGATGCATCTGAGTGATACTTTATCGATCATCAAGTAAAGCTAAAAAAACAACTGTGTTTACAGTTTTTAAATTGTTAAATGTTTTGGGTATTTCTACCGTCGTACATCATCCGGATAACTAACTGCCCGACGCACTCATACATTTTTAGTTTGGTTGGCAATAACAGTACGTAAGGCGCATGCTGTAACATGTGTTGTTTTGACATTTAATTATAATAATAATGGTTGGACACAACACAATAATTATGTAAAAGAAATTACAAAATGTACAAGTTTTAGTAAAAAATGGATTTCTGCATGGTATTACAGTAAAAAAAAAAACGATTTGCCATTTAGTTTAAAACAATTTCATTGCAAGTTTTCGGTTAAATTGAATATTTCAAAGCAACAACGTCTGGAATCTTAATCATTATTAAATTTTATTCAAAACTTTTTTTTCTAAACATTATGTTTTTTTTCTCTAAAATGTCATAGTTATCCTGAGATAAAGTTCTGGTTAAACATTAACTTCCAGATAAACATTG